TCCGAGTTACACCCCTGAGCTGCCGGTGTTCCAGATGCCCACCGCCCAAACACCACCACTCTGGACCTGTCCACCGGCGGCGCCTCATTCTGCCATGAAGACGCCTCAGCTGTTTTCTATGGACTACACAAATACACATTTACACACACACACACACACACTCCTGTTAACCCATATGAGGATGGGTTCTCTGTTGAGTATGGTTCCTCTCAAGGTTTCTTCCTATCTCCATCTCAGGGAGTTTTTCCTTGCCACCGTCGCCTCGGCTTGCTCATCAGACACACTCTCACACTTCATCTTACTTTTTTGTTTGTGTAAAGCTGCTTTGAGACAATGACATTGTAAAAAGCGCTATACAAATAAACTGAATTGAATTGAATTGAATTGTGTCAGGAAGGGCATCCGGCATAAAAGCTGTGCCAAATCAAATATGCAGATCAATGCAGATCCGCCATGGCAACCCCTAATGGGAGTCGGCAAAAAAAAATTAATTTCACCGAGAGTGATTAATAATATAGGCCTAGATATATTTCTAATTTTAATATAGAAATATTTCATTGCCACATTTTATGAAATTTTAGGGGAGGCCAGTCTTCACATGTAGTCTTACAGCAATCGCCTGTGGTTTCAGCCATACTGCCACAGGAAAAATTGCAGAGTAAAAATTGTTATGAAAAGTCAGTCCACAATATTACCTTCACAATTAAGGACTTAAAGGAATAAAATGGAGGAATAAAATGGCTCTAAACACTACATATTCTATATTTTTTATAATTTATATGAGAATTTAATATAAAAATAATATTCTGAATTTGACCCAGTATTTGACAGACAATATTAATAGTTTATTGAGATTAATATAAATATGGTTTTGTAAGAAGAAAAAAAAGCAATTATAGGAAACTAAACACAGAAAAGACATTCCATTGTATTCACAAAATAAGGACTCTAATAGATTAAAGAATAAACTCCTGCTGCTGTGTTAAAAAGGTTTGTTTACTCACCAAACACCTGCAGTGAGGTTCCACCAGTGAAAGAACCTGTAGTCTCTACAGTCAGAGAATATGTTCCAGTATCACTCTCCGTCAGGTTCCTGAGCTCCAGAGCTAAAGTGGTGGGGTCCAGACTGATTCTGTTAGTGTACGCTGGCACTATTGTAATTCCACTAGGAGTTCCAGAAAGAATGGTGATTGCATTAAACCTCCATATGATGATAACGTGTGGGGGATCAGGAATACGGGTTGGAGTAATCACCACATTCTCCCCAACTGCTTTATTTATTCTCTCAGGTAATAACAGCTCTTGGCCAAAACACACTCCTGTGTGAAGAAATATTTTTTAAGACAATAGAGTTTGTTGTATAAAAATAGCATTGTTCCAATATAGAAACCAAGAAATAAAAAATAATAATTTGGATTATTATTGTTGTTGTTGAGATATAATGAATGTGTTCACCTGTACATGACAGCAGAAGCAGAGTGCAGCACACAGAGCATAAATCCATCAGGAGAGATCCGGAGCGCCACCACTGCTTCTCAATAAGCGTCTCTACACAGAGATCTGTGCTGATTAATCACCCGATGTGACCTGCAATGAACAAAACAGTGCCAATTAAACCCGAGTTATAACACAAACACCCAGAGAAGTGACAGAGAAGGCAGGGAGACGGCTGGTTTATAAACAGTGTCATAAAAACACACACGCAGGAGTGAATAGCCTACATAATACTGGATTAATTCTCCACCGATTTACCCCAGATCATCACAATAAGGTTTATAGGCATGTGCTTCATTGGTATTGTCCTATAAGCAAGATAGAAAAATTAATTTATGCTGATTCTCTTCAGATGTCATACCAATTTACACACAGTTTAAGTTTGAAATGTAATGTGGTATAAATATAACCTTTACACTTATAACTGCCTTCAGACTTTTTTTTAACTACAGTATGTGCAATATGTGCAATAACTACTGTATGTGCAATAAACAGCATTGTGCAATACAGTATGTGCAATAACTAAAACCTTGCGTGTACAAGAATGAGGCCTGGGACACAATCAGCGTTCCACTTCATCCCAAAGATGTTCAGGGAGGTTCAGGTCAGGGCTCTGTGCAGGCCACTCAAGTTCTTCCACTCCAGCTTTGGCAAATAATGTCTTCATGGAGCTCACTTTGTGCACAGGGGCACTGTCATGCTGGAACAGGTTTGGGCCCCTTAGTTCTAGTGAAGGGAAATCTTAATGAATGAATATTAATAGAAGAGAATTATATATAATTGCACTATTCGTTGTCACCCAGATGAGGATGGGTTCCCTGTTGAGTCTGGTTCCTCTCAAGGTTTCTTCCTCATATCGCCTCAGGGAGTTGCCTCTGGCTTGCTCATTAGGGATAAATTCATAAATTTAAAATGTGTATCCTGAATTTATATATTTCTTCTAAAGCTGCTTTGTGGCAATTTCCATTGTTAAAAGCACTATACAAATAAAATAGAATTGAATTTGGTGGCAACGGTTTGGGAAATAAAGTAGTGTATACATTATACAGTAGTTATACAGTAGTGTACGTGCAATAGGGGCTGATGGGTATGTGGGGAGGGCAAAATAAAAATACTTTTTTATTGTATGTTATGTGTACAACATGTTAAATGTTTACTATGTGGGTGGTTGGGAGGGTCATACAAAGTCATACAATGCCTGTAAAATCAGGTCTGGAGGCTTCATACTTTGGTTCTTTTCAATCCATTTTGGATTGTTCCAAGATTTATATATTTTAGTCACTGAGCAGACAGTGCTCTCTACTGGCCAAAGACAGGTTTACACATTCACAGCATTTCCTGGCCAAAGAC